AGTGCCCATTTTCGGACGGCCGGAGTGTCCGTGGGACGCACTGTGGGACTATTCCAGCGAGTACTCGAAATGGAAACTCTGCGCCGCCAATCCACCGGCAGACTGGACAGAACGGCCTGCAGGCGCTTCTCATTGAAACCAAAGTCGTCGCGACAGAACCTGGCCGCCCACACGAATGTGTGATGCATCTTCAGAGACAGATTGTAGTAGGTGTCTTCGATGTCGCCCACGATGAGATCATCCTGTTCACTCATCTCCTGCTCTAGGCGACTTCGAATCTGGGCACGGCGGTTTCCAATGTTGACGAATGAGTTGCCGGCGCGACCGGGCAGTGAGATGTTGAAACCATCACGTTGGAAGGAATTGCTGCTTGTGCTTGTTGGCAGGCCCACCACGAACACTACTCCTATGCGATTATGTGGTTTAGCGCTACTCTCATTTCGCAGATGAGCGTAGAATCTGCGAAAGTTTTGTCTGTTGTCGAAGTTGTAGACGGCTGATTTCACTATGACGACTAGGTCGTGGTTGTGCTTGCGGTCAGCAGCCTTAATTGCTTCTGGTGGACAAACCGAAGTGCTCACTTTGAGAAACCGCATGCTGGGACCGTTGATGGGAGGCTGCAAACGTACAAGAAGATTCCGAATGAACTAAAAAGAATTTTGTCGCAGAGAAGGGAGAAAGGTTACTTCTAGTTAATTATGTTTGGTGGTTTTATTTTTTAAAAAATTGATGCGTACTGAGGAGGCTAGGAATGCTCTTTGTAAGATGTCTGATCCCGGTACCGATAAATCACAAGAAAAATCCTTAAATTCACAAAATATCTGTCAGTTATCCAGGGACATCTTCTCGCCAAATGCATTTCCAACGTTTAGACGCTCAACCAGCCTACTTTCCTGGCACATTTGCATATATTTGACACGGATTCTTAAATTCGAGTATTTAATAGAATTCTGAATTCAGTTATCAGCGGTTGACCATCTCCTCACCTCCGGCTTGCCATAAGATTTTCTCTAGGCCTTTGTCAGCTGCTGACTAAGGTGTGCGCACCAAAATTAGAGACGTGAATTCTTACGTTGTTTTGCGCTGTAAACAACAAAAGGGGATTTGCTCCGGCATACAAAACAACGTAATTCACCGATACCAGTCTGCACGACGATAACGCATGTGATGGGAGCAGTTAGACCTTGACAAGCAGTAGCACCGTCTTCTCCAACTAACTGTGATCTGAGGGTTATCTGTGCGATAGAGTGCTGTGAATAGCGTATCTCACTGATTGGACTAAACTGGAAGGAATCATGATAAGTGCTCACGTGCAGGCGATCGATATGCGCTCTGCATCGAAGGCTAAGCGAGAGAGAGAGACAAATATGATGAAGCCTGGTGTCTAGAGACAACTTGGGGGATCAATACGACGACAGAGCATCTGTTGGTGCTAGAGATCAAACAAGGCCACGGACCGAAACTGAAGAACGAATGACATCCATGTTAACTAATCTGCGTGTCAGGGTACGGGCACTGATCAGTTACGCTGTCCTGGTTCAAAGTGTGAACACAATGTGTGCAGTGCAAGTAAAGTAAGTCGAATGGGGATGCTGAAATCGTGGTTGGAGAAGTAGCCCAATGTAGAACGGTAAAGGCAAGCCTAGTTTTGGTTTAAAGGTAGGGTTAATTTTAGTGTTTGGGTTTATGTCAGGCTGAGAATTGAGTTTAGGATTAAGTTTTGTGTTACGTTTAAGGGTTTCAGTTAGAGTTGGGTTTTGGACTGCGTCCTAGGTTGGCGTTTGGTGTGAAGGTTGTGGCTAAGGTTGGTGTTCGGGTTAGAGCCGTGTTAGGATTAAGGCTAATTTTGTGTTTAAAGCTAGAGCTAGGTTAAAGGGTATGCGGTAGATGATGTGAAAGTCCGTTATCACTATGAACTTATTCATGCACAAACCGCCTTCCTTCAAAATCGGTATTATTTAAATGCTCAGACGCATATTTTGCCAATTTTCAGTGACCGCATTACGTGATTGGGACCATTGGGCTTCTCGTGCATACTATCCAACTTTCCCTCCCCACGTTTTTGCTTCGGGTGGAGATCCATCATCAGCCATCATCCACCAATTGCGAGCAATGCCGATGACTGGCACCACCAATACGGAAGGTGTGGGCCCGCCACACACACGACCTGCTGACCCCTATATCTGCCGTGCTTTCACGAGGTTGGATCGGATCGCGCATTCGCAAGAATGCCTTAGCCACCTCCCCTACTTAACTGGGTGTCAAGACATAGTCAAGAAAACAGGAGGTGAGGAAGGACACAGGTAGTTGCCGCGGCCGAACATGCACCTGGGCGTGACACTCCTTACTCGTAGAGACAACACAGAGAATCTGTCAAATCAGAGAAAAACACGCCCGTGACGTGGCTGGTGGGCAAGCAGAATTACCGCGTGTGAATATAAACACATTGATAACTTCACATGGTTCAGCCCGACGGATGAGGCGGTTGCAAGTTTGTAACTGCTAGGTAAAGCCTAGCCACATGTGAGAGTTGGATGGAGACTAAGCGTCGTCAGCACCTGCAAGAGAGCGAATGACCTACTGCGACCATCACGTGACCCCCCAGCTGGGCACTCCTGCATTCCGGCCGACGATGTCTATCGTGTGCTCCAGAGTAAGGTGGAGTGGTCACGGTGACCCGTGCTTGATTTCTTTTACAGTGGCAGTGGACTTGCACTGCATCCGCCGCACTCTCTCCTCCTGGCCCGCCTGGGTCCGGTGTCAAGACAGAGTCAGGAAGACCGACGGTGATGAAATTGCAACAATTAACGACACGAATGTCGGCCATCAAGCAATTAGCACACCAAGTGCAACAATCCGTGTTGAAGGGGGCGGGGGGAGTTGTGAATATTAATAAGTATGCGGTAGCATGGCGACTGCATCCTGCACATACTGCAGCCCCTTGTGCGTGAATCACCAGTGTCTGCTGTTGTTTATGATGATGTGTTCGAGCAGGAATCCGAAACGTCAGGCTAATAAAGCTCTTGTTCCAGTGATCGTGTCTCCTTCTTCAAGACTGCTTCCTGGAACTCGTCTCTTCGCTTATATTGTGGAGTTCCACCTTGTAGCGAGCTAGTTCCCGAGCAACATGGAACCGTCCTTCGTTCCGGTCGGTTGCTCCTGGGAACAAACATTCCAGTCCCCCAGATTGGGCAGACTTGCTCTTGCAGCCTATGGGTGGTGGGTAGGAGGAGGAGGAGGAGGAAGGAAGAGAGTATTTTGGCTCGTGTTTTGGTTTCGACCACCAGTTAAGCGGTTTGCGAGTCACGGCCTGCGCGCAGATGTCACAAATCCAGCATTTGTTCAGGGCACTTTTTACAGCCCCTCCACCTCGTGAGAGAAGGCAGGGCTGCTTTATCGCACCAGACGTACACCGCTATTCACTATGACTCAGAGGCTTTGTTGGGAGAACGACCATTTTCCTGGGCCC